CTGGGCTGCCAGCGCCCATTGCCGGCTCATGTCCAGCTTTTCATCCACCAGTACCCCCAAGTCCCTCTCGGCAGGGCTGCTCTCGATCCTTTCTTCCCCCAGCCTGTATTGATACTGGGGGTTACCCTGACCCAGGTGCAGGACCTTGCACTTGGCCTTGTCGAACCCCATGAGGTTCACACAGGCCCACCTCTCCAGCCTGTCCAGGTCTCTCTGGATGACATCCCAACCTTCTGGTGTGTCAACTGCACCACTCAGTTTGGTGTCATCCGCAAACTTGCTGAGGGTGCACTCGATCTCACTGTCTAAGTAATTGAAGGCACGAATTACAGGGTGATGGAAACCATGCTGAGCGCAGATTGTCCTTGTCTACACTTCCAGCTTAAGTGGACCCCGTGAGATTTATAACCATACGAGGATGTTTATCTCCTCCAGACACACACCCTCAAGAGCATATCGTCTGAGTTGTGGGGGAGTAGACTAGTCCCAGGAGCAGGACTAGCAGCAGTTACAGATATATTTTTTTTTTAATGCTATTCTGTTCTCTGTCCCTAGAGAGCCTTTCTGGGAAATCTCATAATGCTTTACACATGAGAATAAACTTGTCTGCGCAGGCACCCTTTGGAAAACATGACAAGTAGCATCCCGGCTTTATTCAGAGGAAACTGAAGCAAATGAACATGGAGAACCTAAGCTGGGCCAGGAGCAGTTAAAGCTGGGTGCCCTGATCCTTCATCCTGTGCCTTAAGCCACCATGCAAAACCAAACTGGCCATCCTTTAAAGTTGCTTACAGAAACTCACCTGTCCTCAAAATATCCCACATAACATAGGCCGCCAGATATTATCAGTCTGTTTTACACAGGGAAGTTGACAGAGGTGAGAACGTACAGCCAGGCTTCCTAGACAGGCCTCTACATCAGGACCTCATCCTGCACATACCATGTACCTGATTTTGAAAGATGCTGAGCACCCAGCGGTAGCTGCAGACCACAGTAGCTGCAAAGGCATGTCCAAAAATTGGGTGCCAGTATATATGCCAGGTACATAAAAATGGACCCACTTAAAATTATGGATGATTTGGGGAGGGCGAAAAAAAAAAACCACCTCAAGTGATAGGGTCTCAGAGTAAGTCAGCGTTTCAGGTTCGTATAAGAGACCATGAAAAAGTTAGTTCAACCTGTGAACTGTCTCTCACCTGATCAGCCACTTAGCTGCTGTAAACTGGTGTAGCTGCCCTGAAATTGTGGCTTATGTTGGGTATGAATTGGGCTCATTTTACCTTTAGTGCCAGTGTCACCGGGCACCGCTGCTATTCCCCTTCTTGCCTCCTTCTGTCAATGCCAGAGGATTTTGTTCTTGTATCTCCCTCCTCCCATGACTTCAGCTCCTGCCCAGTCACCACTGATCCTGCTTCTTCCCTGTGCAGGAGGTGCTGGAGCCAGACTACAGGGAGGATGCAACCTTTTCCAAATGTGGTGGTTCAGGGAGCAGGTCAGAGATAGGAATGTCGCAACCTCTACCTCTTGGGATCAGCCGGCGTGTAGATACAACATCTAGGAGACTGGATCATTTTCCTTCTGCTACTCCTATAGGGTACGCTGGAGAGACACGGGCTGTTAATTCACACAGAGAGAGAGACAAATTCACCCCTGTCAATATATACGTATACTTCTGTAAACTGCAAATTTGGTTAAGTTACCTTCAGCATAGACAGTAGAGGCTGAAAACCCACACTCATCTTCAGGTTAGTCTGGTTAACCCGACCCTGCAAGAGTGCAAGCTGTACAGGGAAGTGTAGATCACCTTTATACCAGCACAAGTTCCAGCTGGTAGCCACTTCTTTCTTTATCTCACATTTCACGCTAGCAGAGAGCTGTGGGTTGGTGTCAGATGCAGCTTAATTAATCAGAGGATGTATGCCAAGCTAGCTCAATGTTCATAGTCCTGCTCATTAGCAGAGTCAGCAGAAGCTTTGGAGAGCTTCAAGGAACGGAATTTGCCTGCTCTATTCATCGTGGTGACGACAATGCTGGCGTAGCTAAAGGCAAGAGGCTTTGATTTGGGTTCAGCAAGTCAACTGTTAAGCTCATTAACTTGACAGATGGAAAGTTAAAACTATTCCTAAATTTCAGCTTGAGGGATTTGATTAGAAGAAACTGGGCATTTGGTGTTTTTCAAAACAGGTCTTCTGCTGTGGCAGGGTCTGAACCGGAGAAGGGGACCCAAGTCCAGCAACTGAGGTTGCTCTCAGTCCAGACCTTCATGGCTTTGATCCCATTTGTGCTGCCCACGTCTTGTACAGGGCAAGAGCAATGCTCCGCACGCTCCAGGCTGATGTGTTTTGCTGTGTTTCCACTTGTTGGAGGAACAGGAACTAGAACTGATGGCATTGTGGAAATCAGAGAGGTCAGAGCAGGGCAAAAAGGCTCAGGACAAGAGAGGAGAAAGGTGGGAAACGGGTGGGAAAAGGAAAGGTAATGGGCCTGGATAGAGGAGACCTGCCTGATTGTAGGTGTCAGGGGAAGAGGCAAGTGGAGGACGGTAAAAGGGCACACCAATGAAGGGCAGTAGGATGTGGAGGAGGTGATGCAGCTGCAAATGTTTTAGGAAGAAACAGTTCAGACACTAGGAGAATAGGAGTGACATTTAGGAGAGCAGAGACATAAGGGGAATAGAGAGTTTAGCTCAGTTTATTTGGTTTCTATTGACAAAGTAAAATATTTGGATGAGCCTGGTGAACTCAGTGAAATGCAAACTCTGGTTTGAATTGTAATTTATACAGTGGACCTCACTCTGGCACAGCCTCTGTTCTGGGTTACAGTATGTAGCCAGCGGATTGCTGGAACATGAGCTGAGAGGCTGTGGCAAGACCATGGAGAGTCACAAATTTTGATGTTCCTGTACACTCATCATTTGCTGCCAACAACAGACTTTCTGGATAAATGCTTCTCCTTGGGGAAGGGACTGGAAATTCCAAATCAGTATTATACAGTAACACGGAGCAGATGATAATTCTTAAGGGGTGGAAGGGTAGGTCACCTACAGACACGTACCATAAGACCAGAGAGAAATTACTTGCCGGACCTCCAACTCCCAAAACGGAGTGAGCACAGATAAGGTGAAGTTTATCTGAACAGTGTTTGTTATTTTGCAAAACTCTGTAACTCCTTGTTGCTTTCCTAAGAATAAAAGTTATTATGGTTTTAAAAAATACAGCAAAATCCAAGTCTTATCTTGTTTTCTTAGTTTCATCACATTAATGTTTGCTTTGCTTCCAAATCAGATGTGGTAGTACCTGTACCCTCATATTTATTATGCTCCACTCTTCACTATGATTTTCCTGGTTGAAGACTATTCTTTGTGTTTATTATTTATACTTATTTTGTATTCATTTAATTTTTTAAATTATTTTTATTTTTGACCCCATCCTCTCTGCATAGCTACTTTCTCCTTCCTGGTTCAGTTATTCACTGCTATGAAAAACTTTCTTTTCTTTTAAAAATCTGTTTTCCAGATTGACATAACATTGTATCTACAAACATTTATAGAAGAGTTTTCTTTGCTGATCTCTCTCTTTACTCTTCACCTTGTGGCTGTTCATCCAGGTAGCTACAGAGGGATTTTTGCTTCTTTACTTGGGGTGTGAGTTCCACAGCTACAGTGCATCTCTCAGAAATTCTGGGCATCTTTCACATCCAATTTCCTTACTGCTACAGTTTATGTTAAAGAGTCTTCTTAATTCCTTGGGTTTTACTTTCTTTTAAAACAAAACCCGTATGTACAATACAGGCCTATTCTTATTTAGCTTCCCACTTAATTTATATGTAAGGAAATTATGATCACATGCTCCAAATTTATTTTGATGACCACCTGCTCTATGACTTAATTGCTATTTACAACTAACAAATCTTTTGTAGCTTCAGTGTTGGTTTTCTGAAGGAATTTGTCATCTGTCCTATTGACAATTATAGGCCTATGGCCTGTTATGATCACGAGAGATTATTCTCTGGTCCGTAACTCTGGAGTTAGTTTCCCCATGGCAGCATAGCTCTTACTAGGATTTATCTCTTTTAATGTTAGCTCTCTCCCCACATATCCAGTGTGTGGTTCACAGCTGACTCTGAGCTGCACCAAAGAAAAGTTCCCTTTAACTTTCTGAGTTTCATCTAAACAACCTATAACATCATTCATGTGATGTTAATGCACTATTTTTATCTTCCTTTCTATCAGTCCTGAACAGCAAAATATTTTAATACCAGGGATGACTGTTATTCTACCATATTTCTGTTACTTGCATGATAGCTAGTTTACACCCCATATTAGTTGCTGATATTGTTTCCTACCAATATCTGGAAGGTAGTTACAAAGATAATGGACCCAAAGTCTTCTCGATAGTAGCAGGCGATATAACAAGGGGAATGACATCCAGTTGAAGGTTGGTGGCTTCAGGCTGAACTGCAGGAGCAACTTTTTTACCAGAAGGGTAGGGTAGCACTGGAACAGGTACCCAGAGAGGTGGCAGTACCTCCACCCTTGGAGGGCTTCCAGACTTGGCCAAACATCATGGTGACCTGATTGAGCCAGAGGTTGGATCAGAGACCTCCAGAGGTCTCCTCCCACCATCACTTCTCTGATTCCACAGCATCACCTGCGATGCCCTGTGGTACACAGGCATCTGCCTCCCTGGCCTCACCCGCTTCCCTTAGCTAAACTAGATAGCCCTTTGGCTACCAGTATTGCCTGCTGCTGCTTCTCTCATCACAATTGGTATATTCTTTCCCCTTGTTGTCTAGGCCTCTGCCCATCGCAGCCTCCTTATCTGTCATCACGTAGTTATTTAACTGGTTTTCATCTCCCTGTGTAGGAAAACGGATATGCAGCCCTCTCGCAGCAGTTGCAGCATCCTTGAATGGCTCTCTTGAACGTGATACCTACACGGTAACATTATGTTTACTAGCTAGCTTGTCTAAGTTGCACAACTTTTTACCAGAGCCATTCCTTTTAGCCAGGCTGATCCAGCCTGGGATTTGTGGTGGATTTCAGTGCTGGAGAATGGAGAAGAGCCCCAGCTTTAGCAGACACCCGGAGGGATTTGGTTACAGAGAAGAGTCAAGAGTGGCTTACAAAGTCTGTCACAACTGCTGTGGCCAAGCCCCTTTGAAGGCAGGAACCCACAACTCATTTCACAGCCGCAGC